CCTCTCACGTCCTCCCAGCGTCCAGCCTATCATCTGTGCTGCCAGAGTCCCCACACCCTGGGCTGCCGGCCCCGAGCCAGCAGAGGCCCCATCACGTTCTGTCCAGGAGGACCTACCTGTCTTTGCCACGGTCAGCACCGCTCATTTTAACGTTGGCTTCCTCTTGGGACTGGAGGCGGGTCGGGGTGTTGCTGAATGAGGGGGAAAGGCCACGTTTACTTGGTTTCCCCAGGCCAGCGTCCCTGCGTGTGGTACCGAGTATTCCGGAAGTCTCTCAAAGTCATTAAAGACTTCACCAAACCAAGGGCTTTGGCACAGCACGCACCCGGGGCAGCTGACATCGGCTCCTTCACAGCCGTGCTCGCCCCCCGGAGCCCGGGCTGGGGGCCCCCCACGCCCCCACGTCTGCCCACCCTGGTTGCTGCTGGACTTCTAAAAGGCCCTTTGGCAGTTCGACAACTTGCCTCCCAGAGGGCCTTCCCAGCCCAATACCTCCTCCCTGGCTTCTTTGGACACCGTTGCCCCTCACGATGCGGCCCCAGGAGATGGTTTCCCCTGAGACCCTTTCTCCTCGAAGGCAGAGTCACTCCCGTCGGGCTGGGAGAAGTGGAAGAGGCCCGTCGGGGGGGAGCCACTGGCCTCCGGAGGAGGTTGTACAAAAAGACTTCTCTTCTGCGGACGACCGGCCCTCAGTGATTTGTCATGTGCGTGCACGTGTGTCATTCACGGAAACCGTTTTTGGTCCAACGTCTTCCCCCTTTCCTTCCCCGCTTTAGGTTTCTTGAAATCCAGAAGCCCGGGCTCTGCAAGATGCTTCGCGTCCTTGCCTTTGCTTATCCCTACACCTGGGACTCCCTTCCCATCTTCTACAGGGTAAGGGCCCGGCTCCGTCTTTTCTCTGCCTGTTGGCAACACCAGGGAATCTATTGTTTCCTGAGCTCCTGGGGCTCGGAGCGCCATGCTGGTCACTGCGAGGGACGGACGTGGGAGCCACGACCCAGGGGCTCCCTTACTAGTTAGGACACAGCAGGAGAATGAAGGCCCTGGCAAACCACAGGGGATGCATCAATGGCCAGCACTGACTGGGGGCTCAGACGCAGTCGTGGAGGGCTGGGAAGGGGAGGCAGCCTGGGGTTTAGTGCGGTGACCAGGAAAGCAGGCTCTGGAGGCAAATCTCTAATACGCACTCGCTGTAAGACTTTGGGCCAGTTAGGTACCATCTCTGTGCCTTGATGTCCCCCTCTGTAAAATGGGCATGGTAATAACACCTGCTTTCATCAGACTGCGGGGAAGATTACATGAGATCGCTGGCTCGTGGCAAGTGGCCAATAAATGCATTTATTCTGTATTATCATCAACTAACATACTAGCAGCGAAGGAAAAAGGATAAATGAAGGTCGTAAGATAGATGGGAATTGGAGAACATGAAGGAAGGGGGTGTAGGAGGGACACAAGAAAGGGGAGAGGCACTCACAAATCGGATGGACCTGAGTTCAAATCCCAGCGCGCACTGGCTCTGTGACCTTAGGGAATGCACCTGATCTCTCTGAGCCTCAGTTTCCTCATCTGTTAATGAGGCTGACATCCTCTCCCGCACAGAGGGGTAGAGGGGTTTAATCAAATCAGCAGATCGGAGGGCTCAGCAATGCCCGCCAGAGGGCCTGCACCCAGTGAGTGGAGTTTCCCTCCCAGGGGCAGCTTGAAGTTTGATGCGCAAGTCAGGGACCGAAGGGGAGGGCCAGAGCCACTGCCACCTGTGTGAGCCTGGGATGGGGGGGGGAGACCCAGAGGCGTGGGTGCAGCCCATTCCCCTGACTCCTTCCTCCACGACACAGAACACCCATAGGAAACCAGAGCAGAGCAAGCCGTTCCCACATGCCACCAAATCGCATAGCACAGGTCTGCGTTATTAGGAGCACCAGCTGAGTCAGACAGGGGGCGGAGGAGGGGCCGGGAGGTCTGATCGCCAGCGGGGAGGTTGAGGAGCACCGGTTCTGGAATCAGCCTGCCTGGATCCACAGCCTGACTTCACTGCTGATTAGTGGTCTGCAAGTCACCCTCTGGCCCAGCTTCCTCATCTGCGAAGTGGGATGTTTTGGTAGTTGTTGAGGCTGTGATGAAATTGTGCAAATAAAAGGCTGGCTTAGTGCCCTAGGTAAGTGATGGCTGCTGTCATTATAACGGTAATACAAAAACTATACTTAGCTCTCAAACAGGATAATGGCTGTAATTAACACGTTTTGATGACTCAGAAAGGCCTTCCAGGGATTTCTAGGCTTTAAAGCCTTAATTAGGAGCTTGAAATCAGGGGATGCGCTGGTGAGAAGTGAGTTCAAGGGTGACTAGACCACTTTTTACTATACTTACGTTTTACCCCCAAAAGAGTAGCAAATAGATTTAGTAGGATTTTTCTTTTCCTTTTCCTTGATTTCTTTCCTTTTCTTTCGTAATTAACTCAAAAGGCTTTATGGACATTTGGAGGATTAAAATACAGCTGCCCTGCGGGGAGAAAAAATAAAATAAAATACAGTTGCCTTGGGTCTCTCAAAAGATCACAGTCAGAATTATGGGCGAGCCTGGGTGGCTCAGTTGGTTAAGCATCTGACTTCGGCTCAGGTCATAATCTCATGGTTTGTGAGTTCGAGCCCCGGTTCGGGCTCTGTGCTGACAGCTCAGAGCCTGGGAGCCTGCTTCGGATTCTGGGTCTCTTTCTATCTCTGCCCCTCCCCTATTTGCGCTCTGTCTCTCTCTCACACAAAAATGAATAAACATTAAAAAAAATATTAAGGGGCACCTCGGTGCCACAGTCGGTTAAGCGTCCGTCCGACTCTTGACTTCGGCCCAGGTCATAATCTCGCAGTTTGTGACTTTGAGCCCCGCATTGGGCTCTGTGCTAACAGTGCGGAGCCTGCTTGGGATTCTCTTTCTCCCTTTCTCTCTGCCCCTCCCCTGCACTCTCTCTCTCTCTCTCTAAATAAACCTAAAAAAAATTTTTTTAATATTAAAAAAAAAAAGGAATAGGAATTCTGCTCCCACGGTCCCTGAGAGTTCCCCTTCCAAGCCACAGCCCAAGGAGGTGAGGGCCTTGGCCTGTGGTGCCCGCACGCGTGTGCAGAGATGGCTTCGGGTGATGAGAAGGAAGGGGTCCTCCTCTCGAGACCTGATGTTCCTCTGAATCCCTGCAGCTGTTCCTGCTTTCGGGGGACGGTGCGCAGAATGAAGCCGCCTTGTACCACCAGAAGCACACGGCCATGACCCTCCTGGCCTCTTTCTTCTACTCCGCACACCTGCCAGAGCGCCTGGCGCCTGGCCGCTTCGACTACATCGGTGAGTGCGCGGCGGCCCCGTTGTCTCCCTGCCACCAGGACGCCAGTGCATGCGGTCTCGAAGGGGAAACAGGGGCATGGAGAGACGCAACTCCCCAGGGGCTTCTCTAGGAGCAGGCCAAGGGAAGTGAAACTGTAAGGCAATGGAGGCCAGGATGTACGTAGCCAGCAAATGGCCAGGTAGGATGGGAGGATGGAGAACAGGTGCATCTAGGATTCTAAGGCATTCCTATGGGCTACGGGGCCTACGGAGTCCCGTTATTACCCCAAAGATGAAATCCCAGGATTAAATGGACATCGAGGACAGCCCTGAAGAGGAACAAGACAGACCGAGTGCAGATGGCCCCGAGGCTGACAGATGGCAGGGGCTGTGCCAAGGAGGGGAGCATGTCTTCGTCTCGTTCAGGTGGCTGCAGTGGGGCCAGGAGTCTTGGTTCTCAGGTGTGGCCCCTGGAGCATCAGCATTTAGCATTATCTGGGAATTCTCAGATTCTCAGGCCCCCGGACGTCCCGAACCAGAAGCTCGGGGTGTCTCACTCAGAGGCTGGGTGACTCTCCAGGGGAACCTGAGCTCACCGCCGTTAGAGAAGTGATGTGCTGGAGAGGAGCTGTGAGAGCCAGAGGACTTCTACCTGCTGGGAGAGTGCCTTCCCTCTCTGTCTAGGGAAGTGGGTCGGGCACTGGCTGGAGGAGGGACCCTTGGGCCACTTCTGGTGACGCTGAGGACTCCTTGAGATGAGAGCTCCCTAGATACGCTGTCATGGGGGTTCAAGGGTCAGCCCTTATCCTTAAATGGTGGGCAGGGACCCTGGTTCTCCCCAAGCCCATTTCTCCAGTGATTTTTTTCATCTCCTCCCACCTAAGACATGTGGCCAGATTTGCTTTATTGGCTCTGAAAAGAGCTTCATCTCCTTTACTTCAATTCTGTCCTACCAGAAGGGATGCCAAGGACCAAAATGCTTGGAGGGCAAATTTCAAACAAAAAGGTGAGGGGGCGGGGGAGACGAGAGGGCCACGGAGTTGGAACTTGTCTACAGGAGCCCCGTCCACTTCCCGAGCCCCACCTAGACAAAGTATCGGTGGTTGTAAATGAAGTCCGGGGACTGCAGGAAAAAATAGCCCTGGCCGTGTTTTACCAACTCCCTGGTGTCTTAATAACATTTCATTTATTCACTTTTTTTTTTTAATTTTTTTTTCAACGTTTATTTATTTTTGGGACAGAGAGAGACAGAGCATGAACGGGGGAGGGGCAGAGAGAGAGGGAGACACAGAATCGGAAACAGGCTCCAGGCTCTGAGCCATCAGCCCAGAGTCTGACGCGGGGCTCGAACTCCCGGACCACGAGATCGTGACCTGGCTGAAGTCAGACGCTTAACCGACTGCGCCACCCAGGGCGCCCCTCATTTATTCACTTTTAATCCCACTCTCTTGGGCCTAGGGGAACAGAACCCAGAGACACCCCTCCATTGGCCGGACATTTGCCAGACAACTGTTAATGACAGGTCATTAACAACGGGTTTGGAAAATGATCCGTCCCACAATAATGGGGTCTGCCAGATGTGGGATTCCCTCTCCGACGTGGGGCAGAGTGCTAACTGGTTAGCGCTGGCCCTGCCCGTAGGAAGTTCCTCCATATTCCTGTCCAGCCAGATGGCGGGAATCTCTCTCTCTCTCTCTCTCTCTCTCTCTCTCTTTTAATGAAAGAGAATCCTTAACTCTTGTGTCGTATGTGTTTGCTAGGACTGCCATAACAAAGAATCCCAGACTGAGTGGCTTAAACAACAGAAATGCATTTTCTCATAATTTTGGAGGCTGAGACCAAGGTGTGGGCTGGGTCCGTCTCTCTCCTGGCTCTCTCCCTGGCTTGCAGACAGCCCTCTTCTCTGTCTCTCCTCATGTGGTCTTTCCTCTGTGTACATTCATGCCCAGGTCCTAACTTCCTCCTCTTAGAAGGGTACCAGTCACAGGGCACCTGGGTGGCTCGGTCAGTTGAGTGTCAGGTCATGATCTTGTGGTTCGTGAGTTCAAGCCCCACATCAGGCTCACTGCTGTCAACGGCACGGAGCCTGCTTGGGATTTTCTCTCTCTCTCTCTCTCTCTCTCTCTCTACCCCTCCCTCTGCCTCTCTCCCTCTCTCTCTCAAAATAAATATATAAACTTAAAATAATAAAAGATCCTGTCTCCAGATACGGTCACATTCTGAGGTACTGGGCATTGGGACTTCAACATTTGGAACTGGGGGAAGGGAGACACAGCTCAGCCCATGACACATGCTGTCTTTGTTCTCTTCTCATCTTCTGATTTCTGAGGGTTGTCCCACAAACAGTCCTCGGCCCTGGGCAATGGACTCTTTTTCTCATCACTACCAACTCAGCATGTTCCCGCCCACTACCACCCCCCTCTGCTGGGTCCTCCCCTCTGTGGACACATAGCTGGTGAGCCAAGGTCCTGAAGGTCATCAGGGAAGAAGAGCCCCTGGTCATGTCTGGGATTAACCAGCAGTAAGGAGAGGGCTACCTTGTAACTGGCCAATAGAAAGTCTGGTTGGCTTCTCCGTTGGCCTCAGAATTGGAGCTGATGAGTGCTGGCTCTGAAGAGGTGAACTTTGGGAGAACATGATGCCAGACTTCATGTGAAAAACAGGACTGGTGGACAAGTTGAAAAAATGTACTCGGGCCTTTTAATTTTTCTCACACTGCATTAAAAAAAAATGTTGGGGCACCTGGGTGGCTCAGTTGGTTGAGCATCAGAATCTTGGTTTCGGCTCAGGTCACAATTTCATGGTTCGCGATTTCAGGCCCCTTGTAGGGCTCTGTGCTGTCAGTGCGGAACCTGCTTGGGATTCTCTGTCTTCCTCTCTCTCTGCCTTTCCCCTGCTTATGCTGTCTCAAAAATAAATGAACAAACATTTAAAAAACAAATAAATGCATTGAGGCATATTTTACGTATCACATGTTTCCCTGATTTCAAGGATACAATTCAGTGATATTTTTAGTTAACCCCCCAAATTGAATCCCCATCATCGCAAATGAGTTTTAGAACATGATCATCACCCCGGTAAGATCCCTCCTGCCCATGTCTTATTAATCCTGATTCCTACCCCCTGCCTGAAGAAACCACTAACCTACTTTGTGTCTGTGGATTTGCCTTTCCTGGACATTTGATATAAATGGATTCTGACAATATGTGGTCCCTTGTGTCTAGCTTCTTTACCCAGCATAATGTTTTTAGCCTATACACGATGGAACAGTATCAGCAGTCTATTCCTTTAAAAAAAAAAAAAAGTTTATTTATTTTGAGAGAGAGAGAGAGAGAGATACAGGAGGGGCAGAGAGAGAGGGAGACAGAGAGAATCCCCAGCAGGCTCTGCCCTGTCAGCGCAGAACCCAATGCGGGGCTCGAACTCACAAACTGTGAGATCATGACCTGAGTCGAAATCAAGAGTTGGAAGCTTAACCAACTGCGCCACCCAGGGGCCCCTGTTCGTTTTTTGTTGCTGATCCTGGCAGCCTTTTCTGTGTTCGCCGTAGGTCACAGTCACCAGCTGTTCCACGTGTGTGTGATCCTGGCCACACACCTGCAGATGGAAGCCATTGTTCTGGACAAGACTCTGAGGAGGGAATGGCTCCTGGCCAACTCCAGGCCCCTGTCTTTCCCTCAGATAGCTGGAGCTGTACTTCTGTGCCTCATCTTCAGCCTCAGCAACATAATTTATTTCTCAGCTGCTCTGTATCGGATTCCTGAGCCAGAATTACATAAAAAAGAAACATGATTCAGACCATAAGCTTTTCATGCCAGATGTCAACATTAAGCTACAACCTCCTAAAAGCACCATAAGTGCCTAGTGGTACCTGTTTACCAAGGTCTAAAATATTCACGGTGGTTGATGTCTTGGCATTTTTGAGTGTGTTCATGTCAATAAGGTATTTAACTGGGGAAATGTCTCTCAATGTGCACTTATTCTATAATTGTGATTTTAAAAGGGGAAGATGGGTTCAAGTAAGTCCTTGTTCAGGCGAATCCTTAATAGTTCATTAAGTCTTAAATTTATTTAAAATAAGGCAGTTAGAAGCCTTCCTATTAAGTGGCCGGATGAAGCTTTACTACTCTTGTAGTGTTACCCTTTGAAAACGGACCCTGCTTCATTTGTTGAGTCCCACATGGCACAGCTCCTGCCAAGACCTCCACGGTGGGAGGAGAATGAGCCAGAAAGATCAGCGGGGTGTGTGGAGGGGGTGGAGTAAGAGGAAGCTGGGTCTGTGGGAGCCCTGGGGACTGGGGAGACACTTCAGGATGAAGAGACCTGGTTTGGGGAGGGGGCTTCTTCCTTTCCCCACCTAGTGAAGGGAATGAATGAATGAAGAGTCCTCTTTCCCACAAGTCTGTTGTGCCTTAAAGTGCCAATTCCCATGTCACGTGGATTTGGATTTTCTCTGAAGGCCACATGGCTGGGTGTCTGTGTTCTGTTTTGTTCTGTTTTCTCGTTGCCAATTCGATGCTGCAAAGTGTTATGCAGTGCAGGTCAAATGTGTGAGGCATGGGAGCCGGCTGAGCTAATTCCAGTTGGCTGTGCTCATCTGTCACTGTGTGAACCAATGGCATGGCTCTATTTGGGGATGCTATCCATTTAATATTGCTTCAGCATTTCAAAGGTGCTGCAAAGTTTAGTGTTCCCGGGCAGAGGATGTCAAAGACCTTGTAAAGGGTTGGTCAACTACAGTGATCCTCAAGCTCTGCTGCGAATCAGACACATTTGGTGAGTTGGCGACCAGTGCGGATTCCCAGGCCAAATCAGGGGATTCTGTGTTAGTAGTTGAAGATGTAGGTCTTTTGGAGGAGATTTGCCCTGAATCTGAGGAAGTCCCCAGGTGATCCTAATGCAGAAGGGCCACAGGCCAAATGGGAAAAATGCTGGCGTCATGAGTTCCAGAAGGCACTGGGCCTCTCAGCTTTGTTGCAGTTGACCTAATTTTCAGCAACTCACCACCTAAGGATGTATCCTCTGCTGTCTACTCTGCACAAGAGTAGCACACTGAGCATTTTCTCATCTGTTGCCTTAGGAGTTAAAGTTTAGTATTTCGTGCTGTTTTCAGAGAGTTCAGAAATGCTGATGCAAAGCTGTAGCAGATGCCCATCAACCCCTGATTTGCACTTGCTAATGACTTGAGGGGCTGTCCATCACAAAGCAGGATCCTCTTTGCTGACTCAGGAACACCCTCAAAACTTAGAATACTGCCTCTGTGGTAACTGGCCCAGAAACTTGAATGGCCTCACGAATAGCTCATCGTCCAACCCTCTGAGGACAAGTAAAAATTTATATTGGCTGAGAGTGGTCAAGAAATATGATTTCATTAGTTTTACTGTTTATTTACTTCCTCTGGGGAAAGGTAGACTGATAAAATTATATGGGCTGGTAAATTTTTGGTACATTAATTGCCCGCTGCATGACAAAATTTGGTTTGGGGCGATAATCTGACACTCCTAGTGGAATTTTACTCCAGCAGGGTCTGTGGGCACCCGTTTCGCCTTGCTATAACTTCAACTTTATGCTGCAAAAAGGCACAGAGTTTAAATACCCTATTCTAGGGGCGCCTGGGTGGCGCAGTCGGTTAAGCGTCCGACTTCAGCCAGGTCACGATCTCGCGGTCCGTGAGTTCGAGCCCCGCGTCGGGCTCTGGGCGGATGGCTCAGAGCCTGGAGCCTGTTTCCGATTCTGTGTCTCCCTCTCTCTCTGCCCCTCCCCCGTTCATGCTCTGTCTCTCTCTGTCCCAAAAAAATAAATAAACGTTAAAAAAAAAAATTTAAAAAAAAATACCCTATTCTAGCAGGTGCCAAAGACATGAAGCTCTTTAACATCTCTTTTGTTTAGGGAGAGGAAAATGTTTGTTTAGTTCAGAAATAGTTGAAAGTTATAGGTGATTAATTTGAAGGACCTTCAGATTATTTAATTTTGGGTGATGTGACTTTTTCGCCATCCTTAATGATGGGAAAGAAAATGTTACATCAACAAAAGAAGACCAGTGTTTCATAATGTTTTTATACGTTTGGCAAACTCAGTCCCACTGTATACATTTGGACAGTGTTACCAATTAAAATTGGATGACAGTTTGCAATGGGCTGATTTGGAAGCTTCTAGATACAGACAGTGGGTTCAAAAATATTAATTACCATTAGGTATTAAGTGTAATGTGGGTTTGCTTAAGCCAAAGTCAAAAAGGAAAGGCAAAAAGGTTGGCAGTGGGTGAGCTGGAGAGCTCACTGGGAAGGTGTCTTTTCATGTAGTGGCCCTCAGGTTTTTATTGTCTCAGTACACCTTGGAAATGTGCCATACCCCCATTGGTAGCAATGCTCGCCACCGCACGATCTCAAAGAGGATTTTGTGGGGGGTGACAAACTCCTAATGGGATGACCCTCTTCTTCCTCCCCCTGCATGAGAAACACTGCCCCCCAAATTTCCCAGATGCCACGGTGGTGATAAAACTTGAATGTACTCGAATGAGGCCGTTTAGCTAACTGCCTTGTCCTTCGCTCATCATAGCTTTGCTTTCCATTGCTCGGTTTCTAGAGAGCAACGAATCTGTCACCGACTGGAATGAGAAGTGGGAGGTTTTAGGAAACCATTTGTGTTACAAAGTGACCTGTTTGACCTGCTGCCGTCTTAAAGTGTTTGTTGTGGAACTCAGCTCACGTGAGAAGTTCTACGGAAGGCAAGGGGCAGTGGATCAGGGTGATCAGATGTGTTGGAGAGACCCTTCATTTGGCTCTGCTGTGTCCCAAATTTGTTTGGCCATGGTACTATATGAAACACCTATTCACACTGTATAACAACTCTTTATCACATATTAGTTGAATGCCAGCCTCTGATTTTCTGGTCAACAATCCATTGTGGATGAAAAGGCAAAGACCCATTTCTGAACACAGCTGTTCCTCCAACTTACACTGATGTCTGGTTTTCTTAAACTGTATGGGAGGAAAAAAAAATAAACTTTATTATAATAAAGGCCTGTTTCCCACTTGATTTGGTTATGTTTCACCTACCACACTGTAAACATGTTTGTTCATCATAAGAAATTGATTCCTGGGGCGCCTGGGGAGTGCAGTTGGGTGAGCGTCTGATTCTTGATCTCGGCTCAGGTCATGATCTCATGATTTGTGAGTTCAAGCCCTGCATCGGGCTCTGCACTGATGGTGTGGAGCCTGCTTGGGATTCTCTCTCTCTCTCTCTCTCTCTCTCTCTCTCTGTCTCTGTTTCTCTGCCCCTCCCCTGCTTGTGTACTCACTGTCTCTCTCTCTCTCTCAAAATAAATATACAAACTTAAAAAATTTAAGAAATAGATTCCTATACCTGTGTACATTGCTAAATCATTCAATGAATGTTTATTTTGTGCCTGGTGTATATGGAATGAACACTCCTGCATGGAGTGAATCTTGTGACTATCAGTAGGGAAAGATAGATAAATTCAGATAACGGTAAGTGCTATAAAGAAGAGAAGCCTGGTGAAGATATAGAAATGGGTGGGATAGGGCAGGTGAGATTGGATGGCCATTCTGAGAAGTTGACGTTTGACGAGAGCCTTGGTGGGCAGGAAGGGGCCAGCCCTGCCAGTGTGTGGTGGGGTAGGTGTTTCAGGTCAGATGGTGTATGGGCAAAGGCCCCCAGACCAGTAGGCACTTGGTCCTATCGGAAGGATGGAAATCAAGCCACTTATTCCTGAAATGTGTAACTCTAGATAATGTATGGATCACTTGGCTTTCAAAGAATTCTGGGATTTCTCCTGCATGTTCTTCCCAGGAGATTGTCCAAGAGGCTTTCCTATGGGCTCTTGGTACTTGTATGAATGTGCTTCAACTCTGTAATAAATATATTTCAGGCAAATAGAGAGTCGTTACCCCCATTCTCTTCACTCTGGGCAACAAATTTCTAAAATTGGCTTAATTCATGCCTCCTGTAGAGCATGGAACAACGTACCTCAAAGATAATTTAATCCAGCGTTTCAAAAATGTGTTTGATGATGGGGGCACCTGGGTGGATCAGTTGGCTAAGCCTTGACTCTTGATTTTGCCTGTCATGATCTCATGGTTCTTGAGTTTCAGCCCTGAATTGGGCTCTACCCTGACAGGGTGGAGCTTGCTTGGGATTCTCTCTCTCTCTCTCTCTCTCTCTCTCTCTCTGCTCCTCCCCATTTGCACTTGCTCGCTCACTCTCTCAAAATAAACAAATAAATAAATAAATTTTTAAATGTGTTTGATGATGCAAAATGCACACTGTCAGGCCCAAATGGACAGATGCAGCATACCTTGGGAGGGAAAAGTAGTCTTAGAGTTTTACATTTTTATCAAAAGCCCCAAGTAATTAAAAAAAATTTTTTAATGTGTATTTATTGAAAGAGACAGTGTGAGTGGGGGAGGGGCAGAGAGAGAGAGAAAGAGAG